AAAAAAAAAAAAAAAAAAAAAAAACAAGGAAAAGTGCGCCCGACTGCGCCGTTGGCATTGGCGTTGGCATCGATGCCGTCATAGACAGGCACTCAGGTGGACAACGGTAGGCAAGGCAAGGCATGTGAGTGAGTCTGAATCTGAGTCCGAAGACGAGGCTAGGTGTGAGGGGCGAGGCTGGCTGGCGCAGAAGCCTGACGACACAACCCACACTCCAACAAAAACACTCGACGCGATATCCATGTTCCATGTCCATAGGTATGCATATTCGATAAGCTAGCTAGCTACCTATCTACCTATCTACCTACGTAGCAACGTACTTTTACACCACCTCATGACTTCACACTCTCGATTAGTCCGCAAATAAGAGTAAGCAGGCAGGCAGGCAGTAGTAAGGTGTACCATCTACCTACTGTACTGTACGTAGTACGTAGTACCTAAACTACCTTACCTACCAACCAACCAACCACCGCAGCAGCGCCCCCGAGACGCGTCGAGCATGCATGCATACTTCTGCTTGCTTGCCTTGCTTGCTTTCTCCTTTTTTTTTTGTATATCTTGTTTTTAGGTTGTGTGTGTGTGCGGGTGCAGGTGTGGTTTGGACGCGCACCGCGTGTATACCAAAAAAAAAAAAAAAAAAAAGGAAAAAAGAAAAAACCACACTGAGTGAGCTGAGCCCTTCCAGACGTCCGCATCGGCAGTCTTTGTTTAGAAAAATCAACACCCAGGCTCGCTTGATCGTTCCCCCTCACTCCCTGAGATCAATCATCATCCTTCGTCCCACCACACCCCCACTACCATCGCGAATCTTCCTTCAACCACCCCCCGGAAAGAAAGCCCTCCACCCACACCGGGCTTTGTCCACTGCTCGTTTGCCCGATATTCCCTTTCATCACAATTTCTCGTTCAAAAAGTAAGAGAGAATTAGGGTGGCAGACCATCTCGACTTGCAAAAAAAGAAAAAGCAAAAAGTCATCGCTCCCCAGAGAGGCTGCACTCTTCTAGAAGTTTGTGAGAGTAAAAAAAGTGATGGAGAAAGTTTTAGAAAACCCCGAAAGCCCCCAGGCACAGGGCTACCAGAAAAAAAGAACCCGCCGGAAACACCATGCAATGCCGCAAAAAAGCAGGGGACTCGCAAGTCGGGAAGCAAGAGATGAGCCGTAGCCGCGAGTCTTGAAATCGGATCAGGCATGAAAACCATTCTTGTCGATGCCGACAGATGGCCGTTGTGAATGTATTAATACAAGGTGACGAGAAAGGCGGTCGATCGAGGGCGCGCAGAATTGCGTGGCTAGATCGGCGCGAGGACCCGCGAGTTGTTCAAGACTTACGGAAGTCTTGGGCGTCACGTTAGCGGATGCAAAGGGCAAGCACATGCCACACTTTCGACTTACCAGACAAGACGGGGTAGATCAGCTCGAAGGCTTGGTAGATCTCCTCGCGCACCTTGGCACCAGTCAGGACGATCTTGCCCGAGACGAAGATCAAGAGCACAATCTTGGGCTTCATCATGCGGTAGATGAGACCGGGGAACAACTCAGGCTCGTAGGAGCTGAAGTTGTGATGGCGGCTGGCCAGACCCTCAAGACGAATGGGGAACTTGATGTCGCAGGAACCAACGATGTTCTGGATCTTGAAGTCCGTGAACTTGGCGTTGAAGCCGAGCTTCTGGATGATACGGGCGTATTTGCGCGAGGCAAGCTTGGAGTCGTCCTCAGACTTGGCGCCGGTCACGACCATCTTGCCCGAGGCGAAGATCAGAGCCGTAGTCTTGGGTTCGCGGATACGCATAATGACGGCCGCGAAACGCTAAAAAAGGCACACAAAGTTCAGTAAGACGTCAAGAACGAAAGCTAACCCGATGCATGTACCTTAGGGTTGTACTCCGCATTGCGAGCGTGCAGCGCGATCGTCTTGAGGTCAAGGCGACAGTCGAGGTTGACGGTGGCCCTGCAAAGGTCAGATGCTGATCGAGAGATCGGCAGCACGCCATACTCACACAATGTTCTGCAGCGTGGGAACAATGCCGGAGACACCGTTGGCGGCACCTGGAGTCGCAGCAGGCGTAGCGGGCATCACCCCATTGCCGTTCGCGCCGTTCTGGTTCTGCTGGACATCTTTCTCGGACGAGGGAGGAGTCAGGTCGCCAGCACCGCCCGGAAAGGACAGGCTGCCCGGCGCGGTGAAGACCTTGGCCTGGGCAGCAGTCGCGGGGTGGGTGGTGAGGGAATCCATGTTGTTCATCTTGACGAGAGGACGGTCTGGAGTGGGTATGATGACGTTGGCAGTCTACGGCGAGAGATAAGTCAGATGGGTTCGCGTCCGTGTGCGATGATGTAATGAGATGCGATCGGCGAGGCTCGAGACGCGAGAGACAGCGACGTCGATGATGGCTCGCAGGCGATGCGATCGAGGAGAGTGGAGGTGGAGGTGGTTGGAGCAAGGGCCGTACCGTCAGTGGGAGATGAACAACCAAATGCCTCCCCTACAGTCGATGCCAAGCGAAGTGAAGTTAGTGAGCCTCAACGGTCGCAAACAGGATTGCGCGACGAGAAGTCTCTGGAATGATCCGGGCGCCGGGTCAGAAGCGAAGCCAGCTAGCCTCTGAAGCGGGTGCTGGATGCAGGTGTGATGCGACGGGGCCGGAGCGGCAGTCGCGTCTTGTCGCGGTAGCGGAGCCGGTGAAGTACCTCGTAGAGAGCGCGGTAGCGAGCTGAACGGCTCACTGGAAAAGGAACAGAGGGCGGGGAAGGGTGCGCAAGGCTCGTCGGAGATCTGGAGCTTGCGTGGGGGCGGGTGGGTGGAGGTTGGTGGTGTTCGACGGGGGGCGTAGCGTCAAACAACCGGGGTCGCGAAAGGGTTGGAAAAATCGGCGAGAGTCGAGGGCGGAGGGCGCTGGGTATTTAAGTGCGCGGCTGCCTGGGCGGGCTGGCCACCGGTCGGTCCTACCCCCTGGTCGCGCTATCCGCTTCCGGCCCCCGCAACCATGACTCACCCGCGCCACACCCAAGCAGGCCTTGAATGAAAGAAAGTGAGAGCGTCAAAGCACTCTCTCTGCACGCACAAGCTTCTTGCTTCCTCTCTCTGTCTCCGCCGCCCGCCTATAACCCGCCCCCCTCCGCCCGCCCGCGCTGATGTTCCCGCCGTCGCCGCCGTGAACTCCGCTCTCTTCCGCCCGCCCAGCTAGGTAGCCCTAACTAGCCGCTAAGCCAGGAGAGATGGAAAGCTGAAAGATTTTTTTTTTTTCTTTCCCTTTCCCTTTCCCACTCCCCCCCAGTCTCGCCAAGCCCCGACGCGCCTCCTTCAGCTGCCTGCAGTGCTGATCTGCTGCACGCCCGCGACGCCCCTCACCCGTCCTGAAACACCATCAGGAGTCGACGACAAGAATGCGCGCGTGTGGCGATGACGACGACGCGGTCGCTCGTCGAATCGCGACGCGTCTTGCCACCTCAGCGCGAGCCCGGCGCCTGCGCTTCCTAATTCCCGCGCCTGAGCTGGCTGCCATCCATCGCCGTGCCGTCGCTGATTGTGATTGGCGCGCACCTCCTTCTGCCCTCCCATGCCACGACACGAGGATCGTCGAGCCTTGTTGACACGTTTCTCAGCCTCCTGCTAGTCCAAGGAATGCGTGTCGCCCGGGAAGGTTGTTCGAGAATGCAACGGCAAGATTGCGACGCGCCGTTTTCGTGCCCCATGCGCCATCATCGTTGTTTGGGCTTCACCTCCGAGCTAATGCATCGCTGCGCTGCAGACAAGAAGCTTATCTTGCCCGGTGGAGATTGCTCGTCTGCAAGCCGCATCCCGAGCTTCCGGGCCTTTATTGTCGCAGGCACAGGCAATGAAGCAGTGGAACATGCAACCTGCCACTTGCAGAGAGTCCTACCACGGGTCCACGGCCGCTCTCGCGTGTTGAGACAGATCCACCAGATCTCCTGCATTGAATGACACTGCAGGGGCCGGCGACTGTTAGAGGACCAACGGTTCGAGCGAGCCTCGTCAGTGGTAAGACCCTGTTGAAGCTTAACAAATATGTGGCTTGTCGCTGTTTTCGAAATATCAATTTTTTTATCCTTTTTCCAACGGCTGTTCGAAATCAAGAAAGGAATGCGATCGCCCATGCTAAACATTGGGGACGTGTTGTGAGCAAAACAACAACTGACGCTGCGCAATGTGACACTGCGAGAGCCCAGTAGAAGCTTCTAGAGACGCGCAATGTCTCTTTATTGACTACCTACTACGGTGGGAGGGGGATATCTTTATTCATCCCTTAGTGAGCGACACTCCGCAGAAGCCAAGGCATGTCAAGTCGCTTTGAATTTAGAAATTGAAGATACTGCAATAATGCCTACAAGCTCCTGTAAGTGGGATAATATTTTCCTCTCCAACCGTAGTAATCGACTGCCTAGCTTCGGCTGCGATGGACCGGCATTTCCGTCTCGTTCGGCATTTGACATTTAGGCCTTCCCGATTAGGCACTATCAGCCGCATCCACCTCCTGCGTCGCTCAAAAATATACAATTCGAAGCAAATCGACGGATGCTCTTCAATGCAATCCACCAGGTTGATGCTGACTTCAAAAAATTACTCCGCCATTGCCTTTACTCAACCGGCTTTTCCGGCAGGTTCTGTACACCCATAAGATCAGACACCACCGATTACACTCACATACCACGTCAGCCGCACTTTCTCACCGGTATTTGACAATAGTCGACACAAGGGTCTGTAGATTTGATTCCCCGGTGCCGTTACACTCGGAAAGGCTAGGTTATCATCGGTAAGTCAGCGGAGCTGGCGGCTCCCTCGTCACATCCTCACACCAAGCACTCAACACCACGCCAACAAGGATTCCCCGCACACCAAGCGGCGCATCATGGATGGTCCGGACGATACCGAGGATCTCGCACTGGCCAGGACGTCTCCGCCTCCGCAACAGCCCGCGAGCGGCCCGGCGCGGGGCGCTTCCGGCCTGAGCAGTGAGCGCACGCACGCAATGGCGGACGTCACGAGACGAAGTTAAGAGCTTGGTTCATCGTCACAAGTGCGGGAGAGGTCTAGCTCACCGATTTTTGCTGTTACGTACACGGAACTGGGTGCGATTTGGTGATGGAGGGGGAGGCCGGAATGGCTCCTATCTCGAGGCCGGATTCATTCCGGCCTCAGGATATATCAACGAAGCGGCCGCGGTGCAGCTAGACCGAGCCTCCAACCACTCGCACAACTGTGGCTGCACTATCCCACGTTCACACACACGTCTTGTACCCTTCATACACACATTTTGTCTTCTTCCCTGAGCCATGTCGTCGTCCTCTTTCTCCTTCCCCGTCCTCAGGGACACCTTGCCCGCCGACCACACCATCCCGTCCTTCATGGTCTCGACCACGCGTGGTTTCCTGCCCCGTCAGGACCCCATCGCCAAGCTGCCGGCCGACTTCGACGCGCTGGAGTCGCTGCTGTCGCGCATGCCCATCCGCACCCTGTCCGGTGCACCGGGACTGCTGGCTAGCTGCAGCCTTGGCGCCGCCGTCAACAAAGAACTGCCGGACCTGAGTGGCGCCATTGAGAAGTATCATGACGACAAGGTCCTGATGAATGCCCTGTACAGGGACTACAGCTTCTTGGCTAGTGCCTATCTCCTCGAGCCATGCCATGAACGGTTCATGCGTGGTGAGCAGTACGGATTGGGCAGAGACGTGTTGCCGAGCGTCATTGCCAAGCCGATTGTTAAAGTGGCTGAGATGTAAGTCGGCTTTCGTCTTTCGTCCATGTGCTTGTGCCATCGTCGTGCTAATGACGTTCGATAGCGCGGGCTTCAAGCCTTTCATGGAGTACGCGGGATCCTATGCTCTGTTCAACTACCGCTTGGAGAACCCGGCAGTGGGTCTGGAGTATGACAACCTCAGGCTTGTTCGCGCGTTTGAACTAGGCTTGGACCCGACATCGTCGGAGGCGGGCTTCGTGCTTGTGCATATTGCCATGGTGAAGAATTCCGGCGCTCTTGTTTCTGGTGCTGTCCAATCACTTAATGGAACCCTTGGGCATGACCGTGAATCATTCAATACCGGCATGGCCGAAGTTGTAGCTTCCCTGGAAAAGATCAACAAAGTCATGAACAGTATGTCCCTTCCTTCCTCTTCACTGAGAACAAGTCTGACAATGCCACAGCCATGTGGACCAAGAGCAAGCCTAACGGCTACACCAGCTTCCGCACATTCATCTTCGGCATTACAAGCCAAAGTATGTTCCCGAACGGCGTCGTCTACGAAGGCGTAAGCGAAGAGCCAATGTCCTTCCGCGGCGAGTCCGGCGCCAACGACAGCATGATCCCACTCTGCGACAACCTGCTCCAGATTTCCATGCCGGCAACGCCGCTCACGGAAATTCTGCAGGACTTCCGCTCCTACCGGCCAGGCAACCACCGCGAGTTCTTGGAAGCAGTGAAGGATTGCTCCAACGAGGCGGGTCTCAAGGCCTTCGCGATGGAGGACCCGACGTCGGCGAATTTGTACCTCAAGGCGCTTAACCAGGTCAGGGATTTCAGGTGGAGGCACTGGTGCTTCACGAGGGAGTATATCCTTAAGAACACTAGCCATCCCACAGCGACTGGAGGAAGCCCAATCGTGACGGTATGTTATTCAGACCTGCGTAGTTATGTAGAATGGGAGATACTGACAAGCGTAGTGGCTGCCAAACCAGCTTCAAGCTGTGCTGGGCCAGATGAAGGAGGTGGCCACGCACTGTAGTGCTGTGTCAGGGACCGAGGACATCATGGATGTTGTGCGGTCGCAGCAAGAGACGCTGACGAAAGAAGTCGCCAAGTACTGTGCGGAGAGGAATGTAGCATAAGAAACTGCTTAGTGAAGAGAATAAGTATTTCAGCAAATTGAAACTCAACGAAGGAAATGACGGAGGTGTTCTGCAGCGTGTATCTAGACTGGAAAAATAGAGAACTAAGAAGATCTCAACTTGATAAGTAGCTTCTGTCACCATCGACGAGTACCTACTGTATACAAGTAGAAACGTCCTAGAGCGCATATAACGTCCGTCACCGCGAACCGAGGCCTACCGTATAACGAGACAGAGGACGTTACAAGCAGTCCCTACAGCTCATTGCCTAGCTCCTTATATTCCGAGTCCTCGGTATAGATGAAGAGATCTTAGAGCACACATAGACCCTACATATCATAACTAGGCTCTTCTTCTAATCCATACAAATATCACCATCTCGCTTCAGGGCGAATCTCGCTTCATGGTGACGGAGGTAGTTGCAAAGTCGGGGGCTGTCGAAGCAGCAGCATATCGATAAGCATAGGTACGCCTGCCTTAAATTCACATGCGGATCCCCCACCCCCCTCCTTAACCACCAACTAGACCAATCCAACTCCAGCCCGCTCGAACCCTCTGCGACAGTTTGGACATCCACCCCTTCATCAGAAGACCAAAAGAGAAAAAATGAAGACGGACAACTACCTCGCGCTCTGTCTGGAGCAGGCAGCCCTCTCGCCCCTCCACCACCGCCACGGGAGCATCGTCGTGCGCGGCGGCAAGGTCATCGGCCACGGCTACAACGACTACAGACGCGGCTATGACGGCGGGGCCCTCAAGACAGGGCAGCTGGCGACGAAGCCCAAGCCGAAACCGAACTCAAAGCCAACGGGCTTCACATCTTTAGACGCCTACGCCATGGGCGGTGGATGCTCAGCTAATGCGCCGCTCTCCATGCACGCCGAGATGATGGCGATCCGCTCCGCGCTCGCAACTTCCAGCGCGCTGGCCGCCACGGCCGTGGAGGTGCAAAAACCGTGCGCCAAACTACCGGGTGCGGCTTCTAAACGAGGGGGCCAGCGACTCCGCGACGAGGCCGTGTGGGCGTACGTCGAGCGCGTCTGCGCCGAGGTCTTTGGCGCGGCCGCCGAGGGCCGCGAGTGGGGAGTTTCAGGTGGAAGAGGACGTGAGGTTGAGGAGTCATCATCATCATCATGGTCACCAGAGTCAGAGTATTAAGTTTGGGGGCCGTGGCCGCAAGAAGCCGGCCCAGAAGCATCGTTACGTGCCTAAGAGCGAGGATAGTTTTTCCCGACATACTACTATCCGTGGGCTCGTGGCAGGCCCTGGGATAGAAAAAGACCGCAAGACCGGCTCCGATTCCAGAAGCGACGCTGTGCACGGCGCGGTAAGCACAGCACTACAAATCCCCCCTCCCCTCTCACCATCAGAGCTCAACTCACCCACCTCGCACGCACAGAACCGCAAGAAGCGCGCGCCAGATAGACCCCCTAACCACCCCAAGCCCATTCTAGTACGCACCACCCGCAGCACCCAGGCCCCCTCATCCTACACCACCAAAGAGCGCACCAAGCACGCCAAACTGCACGGCGCAGACCTATACGTCGCGCGCCTCGGGCACGCCGGACCCGCACATTTAAGCAGCAGCGGCGGCAGCAAAGCCCCCAAAGACCCAGTACCGCCACCACCAGCACCAACGCCAACACCACGCCCCACACGCACAGGCTCCCTCCACGAAGAGCTCACCCACATACTCCCCGCCCCACCCCCACCACCAGCAGCGCTCCCGGCCTTACTCGACCGCCGCACCGTGCAGCCCTCGCGGCCGTGCTACCGCTGCGTCGCGTACCTGCATGCGGTGGGCATCAAGCGCGTGTACTGGACGAACAGCGAAGGGGAGTGGGAGGGGGCGAAGGTGCGAGAGCTGGCTGAGGGGTTGGAAGGCGGCGGCGCTGGGGGCGAGATGTTTGTGACTAAAGGGGAGGTTTTGAGGCTGAGGCGGGGGATGGGGGCGTTGGTAGGTGGAGGGGTGGGAAGGGGAGGGGGAGGGTCGTAGGAGTGCTTGGGTAGAGGGTATTGAGGTTGTTTGGTTTGGCTTTGGTGTGTATGCGTGTGTGGAGATGTCTTGCTGCGGGTTTGAGCAGTAGAGGTATGTGTTCCTTTTGTTTTCATGGGGCTGGGTTACTTGAAGACAGTTTGATGTCTGTCTACGTTCCTACCTATGAATCCGTCCAGCACCATCCGTTGAGTCAGGAGCACCGTCCTATCTGCATGCTTTATCCGGACAGGTCTCAAAGCTGATATCATGATGTTTAGCGTTGATATGGAGTTGTGAGACGTTTCTTTGTGGGAATGCAGTGGTGAACCAAGTTCTAGAGAAGCAGACAGTGCTGCGAAGTTCCTGCGAGAGAAACCAGCAAGGCTATCAGAACTAGTCTCATCATCTACTCTGTAATCAGGCAAACAGCGAAGCCCATCCTCGCATTCAAAGCCATCAAACAGCTCGCCATGCACGAGCAGCACCGACTGCCCGATCCAGACTCATCACGTGCGAGGCACCACATCCGGCGAATGGCCCAAGGCGATGACGCGGTGGTTCCCCAGTTAACCGGCAGCAGGCAGCGAATCAACGACGCAGCAGCAGGGTTGCATCGATCGCTTGGCGCCGATCAACACAGACGCAGCAGCCGGGGCGTCCAAGCTTCAAGCGTAGGTTCGGACGACGCCAAACCTCCGCACCCAAGCTTTCCTACCTCCCCCTCCCTCTCTCCTACCCACACACACAAACACACCCTCTGTCGAGCCCCCCGTTCCACCTCGAGCCCTCGTCCATCCGCGCGCCCTTATACTGCTCGCCAGCTTTCGCGCCGTCGCACAGCTCTCGCGGCCCCCTCCCTCCCCTTCCTCTTTCGGCGTTCCCGCTTGCGCCGGCTCCCGAGCTTCAAAAGAGCTCGTTGCACCTGTCTCCCAGCTTCTTCCATCTCCGCGCATCGCCATCATGGCCGACCAAGAGGTCCAGAAGGGCGACCAAGGTACGTCTGCCCGCAGCCTGCCTTTGGCGTGAGCGGCGCGCGTCTCCTGACCCATTGACGCCGTGTCATACGTTGTCGTCCGACGCGCCGCGCATCACGCGCATCGCCCACGACGTCGCCGCTCCCGCTGCTTCCTCCGGGCTCGCTTCGCTGACGTGCTTCTCCCGCCTACAGTCTCCTGGAACTGGGGCAGCAATAACCCCAGCGGCGCTGTCGCCGAGGTTGCCAAGGAGGGTGACATCGCCATCGAGTCCAATAAGGGTAACACTATCAATAAGAGCGCCGAGCCTGAGAACCCCGCTGTCCACATCGAGCGCCCCGGCAATGATGTCGTTAAGAACGCGAGCGACCTGACCGTAGAGAGTAAGGCTGATGGTGCCGAGACCAAGGCGGACGATAAGGCCGAGGAGAAGAAGGAAGGTGAGGAGAAGGCGAGCGAGGAGAAGAAGGAGGCCGAGGAGAAGGCGCCCGCCAATGGCGAGAAGAAGGCCGAGCAGAACGGTGAGAAGGAGGAAGAAAAGTCCGAAGAGAAGAAGGACACCGAAGATGCACAGGCCGGTGACAAGCGCAAGGCCGAAGAGACCAACGGCAAGTCCGATGAAGTGAAGAAGGTCGAGGAAAAGCCCGAGGAAAAGGAAACCGACGCCAAAGAAGGTGAAAAGGAAGACGCTGAGCCTCCCGCCAAGCAGCAAAAGACCGAAGATGGCGAGAACGCCGGCAAGAAGGGTCGTGGCAGGCCAAAGAAGGCCGAGTCTGGTGAGAAGCCGGCGACCAAGGCGAAGCCCAAGAAGGAGCCCAAGAAGGCTGCCACCGAGACGGGCGAGCCCCGCCGCAGCGGGAGGAACAAGTCTTCCTAAATAACGACATACGGGTTGACGGAGCCGAATGATTTGGATGATTGCTTGTTGCTACCTTTCAGGTTAGGGAGGATATACTGTGATCCGGGCATAGAAGCCGCGTTTTACGAGCGAGCTCAGGAACCGGCAACAAAAGCTGAGCGTTACGGCGGCGCTCGGGCGGTATATTGTCATTTGTTATTGTTATTACGAGGTTCGATGCTTGATGGTTTGTTGTAAATAGGTGCTTGTAAATGCATCTTATTGCTAGCGACATGTGCCATTGGCGAGTGATGCATGTGTTTGAAAAAGGTGGTCTGTTGAAAATAGGTTGTCGCCTTTAGAGCAACGACAGTCAGCTCCTCGTGAGTTATACTAGAGCTTGTTGGTGTTAGTATCTCATCTCGGTAGCCCATGCTGCAGCGACCGTCGCGTGAAGGACTGGCTCAGAAGAAAAGTGTCATTCATAGGCAGAAGTACGAAAAATGCCATCCGATCCGTCTTGAAACTTGAATGTAAAGAGCAATCACCATATGCCAGATAGAAGCAGAGTCAACAAGTAATGCGGCGGCGACTTACCCTTCAAAGGAATCAAAATCCAAGACCACGGCGGCCCGCAAAACCCCATCTTTTCGACCCGTCGCGAGCGCCGTCGTCAGGCGCCCAGCGCCCGGATAGGCGTCCGTCGCGCTCTCGGTCAGCTCTCCGCACAAAACCGAACCTGCGTTGACGCTGAAGGTCGAAGGGAGAATCAAGGTCTTTGTCTTTGTCCGACATGCGCGGCAGGTGCGACAGGATTTTTTTTTTCCTGGCGAGTGTCGGGGCCTGCTCGGCCCGCGGGCGGCTGCTTCCATCGTCCAGCAGCAGGCAGCTGCGTGCCTTTGCTCCTCTCGACCTCACTTACATATGTACTCATACTTTTACCTCGGGGCTGACTTCATGTATAGGCATCCATCGGTCGCGCCGAATCCATCGCAACGCGACCCCCGACGACTAGAGTAGTCTCACAACACAGCCGCCGGCCTAAACGGCATTCCCAACCGAGAGGTGCTCCGCGTGCGAGGCTGAGGTGCAGGACGCCCAGCGCCGTGCTAACCAGGTTGTAGGAGACTCCCGCCCAACCACAAGAGTCTTGGTTAAGACGGCGCACAGCTCGGGTCGGAGGTGGGGTGCGGCAAGCTGGCTTGTTGCTTGCTTTCGGCGTTACGCTAAACGGGCTTGTTTGCTGTCAGCCAAAAACAGAGTCAGCAGCAAAGCGCTGGATCCCCGTCTGCTGCGTGCCGCCGTTTAATCTCATCTGCTGCAAGCCTCTTTTCGTGCTGAAAGGCGGGCGTTTTGGCGGTTCTTTGGCTGCGCTCGCGCTTCGTCTGATATTGGTGGCTTGGTGATGGAGCTAGTGAGCCTCAGCCTCGTGGGCCCTGAGGCGCGGTTGTATCAAATACTTTAAGTAAACCTTCGGTTGCTAGCGCTTCAGGGATATGATGAGACTGGAACCACTCAGCCACCCGAAAGCATGGAAGAGACGGTGAATACGGTAAATTTCGTGGCAGCCGCAAATAATAGGCGTTCCAACGACGTGTCTGACCCATGGCATGGCTTCACGCTAGCGGCTGGACGTGAAGTATGGTATACAAAGAGTAGGTCGCCATGCTGCAGGTCAGCGGGAGGCTGACAAGCCGTCAGAACCATTTTCTATTATTTCGTCTCTCATTCCTCTGTCAAAATCTTTATCTCCCCTCTCAGTTACATTCTACTGTGATTGCAGTATCTTGCGCGGCGCGGAGCCTGCTCGGCTTACAGCCCATCAACTCCTGCCATGGAGCAAGCCCCGGCTGCCTTGCGCGTTGCCGCTCCCGTGGCCGCGAGAGCAAACAATCCGTTTTCAGACGGCAACGCTATGCTGGAAAGTCCGACGAATGTATCCCAGGACCAGCTATCCGGATTGTTCCCTGGCAGAGAGCCTTCCAACTCTTCGGACCATCGCTCGCAGAACCCTTACTTGTCCTCTGCCCCTGCTCCAACGGGAGAGGCGCAGCCTAGTGGGACGCCTGCACTGGCAAATCCGACGTCACCGGCCCCGCCGTTATTGTCCAACCCCAGGCCATATCAATCCGTGCGTGATCCTTCTACACGGTCCTCATCGCTACCATTATATCCGTCGCCGTCGCGTAACCAAAGCATACTGAGTAAGCTTGGGTCGTTCAGATCATTACGACCCTCAAGAGCATGGGCCCAATATGGAAGGCTTGAGGACACAGAAGACGATAAAATTAAGACACGCCGGGCGCAGCTGAAAGATGTTGACGAAGAAGATGATGGCGAAAACATCACTTACGATCTGAGTGCTTTCGAAGGCCCATTTACTCTGCAAACAATGGGTTCCAAAAAGAATGAAAAGGGGGCGACAGATATGCGAGATTTGGAAGATGTGTACAAGCTTGGAGAACTTGGAAGCGGCTACAGTCGAGTCGGAGGAATCCATCGCGAGCTCGGAGGTGGGATGGAGACGATTATTGAGACCACCTCTGGGGTACAGCACGCAGAACGTGCTCGAACGCCTGTTGGGACGCTTACACGGCATTTCACCATGCCAACAAGGAGTGCTTCAGGCGGACAAGCACAAAACGAAGCGGCCCAAAGAGCAGCCGAAAAGACGGGCGAGATCGTAGCAGTCACCGAACCTCCTGCTGTCGACATCAGTAGTTTTGACGGCGCAGATTACGAACGTCACAACGTCCTGAATCAGGTGGGTGACCAGTCGATGAAAAGCTACTACTTCCCGCCCGATCCAGATATGCCTGCCTGGAAACCGATGTCGATGCATTGGTGGTACATCTCTATCCTTATCGTCATCGCCGTGGCCCTCGGTCTGCTCCAAGAGTATCTTTGCCAAATATCCATGCGGGCAGGCGAGAACGGCGGTCTCCTCAAGTTTAAGTCCCCTCAAGAACTCACAACGGCCAAATATTTCGGCTGGAAGTACGCACCTACCATCACTTTTCTCAGTTACGGTATATCCTGGCAGATCGCGGACTTTGATGTTAAAAGGCTGGAGCCTTACTATCAGCTCTCGCGACCAACCGGCGCGACTGCTACCGAGAGCTTGAACATGGACTACCTCACAAGCCTGTCTTGGCTGGTTCCGCTGAAAGCGATCCGCCATCGGCACTGGGCGGTTCTCTACTCTTCATTGGCCACTCTTATCACGGGAAGTTTGCTTCCTGTGCTCCAGCAAGCGTCGATGGTAATGGAACCTCCCCAAAAAGACCGAGCGGAGTCGGAGTTCAAATACATACGTATTGTGCCTGTCTGGTCTCGGACCATGTCCGCAAGTCTGTTTTGCGTCGCTCTGTACGGCATCCTCCTTTCCATCAAGCTACGGCGAAAGAGCGGGCTCCTCAGCGACCCCAAAGGCATCGCAGGCATCGCAGCCATGGCCACGCAAAGCCACATCCTGCAAGACTTCCACGGGCTAGACATCGCACCCAAGCGGGTGATCCACAAGCAGCTGGCGCATCGGCGCTACATCCTGCACAAAAGCTCGCTCTGGCAAGGCGAGTACATACTCAGCAACAACGAAGAATACGAAACGCAAAAAGGCGACAACCCCGTGCCGTTGATGCTGACGCTCAAAGCGGGCATCCCCTACCTCAGCGGCATGCTGCTCTTCATGGTCTCGCTGCCCGTCTTCCTCTTCCAGCCCAAAGCCAACCTCGCCACGGAAAAAGTGCCCTTCCTGCTCACGGCCCTCGCAACAGTCATAAAGCTGCTCTGGGGCACCATCACGACCGACGTGCGCGTCCTCGAGCCCTTCTACATCCTCTCACGGCGGCACGCACCCGCGCGCACTCTCACCCTCGACTACGCAGGCACGACGCCCGGCTACCTCCCCCTCAAAGCCCTGCTCAACCGACACTACCTCGTTGCGCTCGTCGGCGCCGGCGCCCTCATGACCGAGGTCCTCACCGTCTGCGTGTCCTCCTTCTCCGTCGACGGCAAGAAATTCTTCCCCGGGCACGGCCACCCCACCACCAACAACGACGACGACAACAACAACAGCGCCTCCCACCCCAGCAGCAGCCGCTACAACGCCGACGTGACCTTCAAGTCGTTCTGGGTCTCGTTCGCGCTGGCCATGGGTATCCTCACCTACCTGTGCGGCGTAGGCGCGGCGGTGTATTTGCGGCGGCGGCACGCGTTCCTGCCGCGGCAGCCGGGCACCATCGCCGCCGTGCTGGCGTTCATCCACCAGAGCCGCATGCTGCTGCGCTTTGTGGACACGCAGCGCATGGACGGCGCGCGCATGAAACGGTATTTGGAGGAGGAGGGCAAGTCGTACGCTTTGGGCTGGTTTAGGGGCAGGGATGGTCAAGACCATTGCGGTGTTGATGAGGAGCCGGTCGTCGCTGCGTATCGCTTTGGTGTCGATTGGAGGAAGAGCAGGGTCCAGCCGGGGCAGGTGGGCACGTGGGAGGTGTTTTGAGATGGGTTAGGCGGGGGCGGGAGTGGTGTGCGTAGAGAGGGATGTATAGTAATTGCGTGGGTTGTTGAATGAATGTGATACTTGCGTAGATGCGTGTTACTGTCGGTACGCTAAATACCACGTCCCCTCGCAACCGCATATCGTTCTCTTCCCCTATATCGTCCTCTCCCTTTCCGCATCGACTCAGAGGTCTGCGTACAGATGTGTCGGCGTGGGCACGCAACATAACTCATCCCCTCGCAACTATGTACCACCGAGCCAAAGCTGAAATGGAGAAGTGCGGTAAACGAATATATAACCATAAGCTAAACTAAAAAGTACTAGCTATCAACTACTTACTATAAAGGGTAGTAAAAATAGCAAGAAGAGGTAGTAAAGTTATCCAGCGCCTTTTATATCGCTACTACTATACTATTACTGCTGCTGATCTAGTAACTATGCCTACAATACTATTTCGCGGATTTCTATTTAATGCTTTATATTGAGATCTTGTAGTTTTTAGATCTGGAGTAGTTTGGTTGAGGACAATAACAAAGCATTTCAGCTTTCTTAAGGTATCTTATACTTTATATGTACAGTACTACTATATCATTAATTTTATAACAGCAACAAGTCTCTCGTGGATATAAAAACTATGCTCCCAATTCCAACAAGGCTCGAGTTAATTCCCCCCCCAATATCTGCTATTTCTCCCCCCCTAGGCCCACCGCCTGCCTAATCAGGTAATAACCTGGCAGAAAGTTGCCTTCGGCACAACCCGCCCGCGCCAGTCGCTCGCGCGACGCCGCGCGAGGACGCGCGGGTGGGGAACAGGAACTAGCACCCCTCATTTTACACCAAAAACCAACTAAAAAAATTCCATATCTCTAACCTTACTGTTACAGCGCGGCACGCGAAGAGGCAAGTTATTACATGTTACAAACGTCGCTTTTTCGCGCCCGCAAGCGCTCCCGCGTCCTCCTCCGCCGCTAGCTGCTCGCTCCTCCGCCTGCTCGCTCCATCACGTGTTCAGCCACGCCGATACTTGTTCTGCCCACGCCCTACACGTGCTGGCATCTCCCTGCCCACCGAGGGTACCGCACTGCTGCTGAAGGCAGTATCTCTATCCTCCTCTATGGTGTTGCTGTCGTCCTCGCTGCTGCTGCTGCTGCTGCTAACGATGATTGGCTCGTCCTGCTGCTGCTGCTGTTGTTGCTTCTTGGTTACTGGACGTGTTGTTGTACGCTTTCTCTTGCGTGTAACTGTCCTGGTTATCTCCTCTTCCTCCTCCACCTGCTGAAGCTGTTGTAGCAATAGTTGCTGCTGCTGCTGCTGCTGTTGTTGCTCGAGCATCATCTTCTTCAGCTCTGCCAGCTGGGCCTGTAGTGAAGCGTCTTCCTTTGCCTTCTTCATCCGTGTACGCTTGGCACGCTGTTGAGTAGCCCAATCAGCCTGCTCAGCCACCTCAAATTGTGAAGGCTCTCTCTGCGTGCTTGCACGCGGGCGTGTAGCAGTGCTAGATGGTGTTGAGTTCTGCCCAGCACGTGGGCGGCCGCGACGACGGTGTAGGATAAAGTTCTGAATGGCTAATATAGGGTCATTATTAGCAGTAGGTGTTTTCAAGCGCTAATATGGATGAATATCGCTCAGGGGTATCTTCTACTGCTCATTCAACGTCATCTGCTTCAGCGTGTGGGCACATGGGAGGCCCATAGAGTCCTCGAAATTGCCGTAGCATGCCGAATCAGTACCCTCTCGCATCAACTCGATCTGCTTAAGTATCTTCTGCAGTGCCTTTGGAAAGACATAGTCGATTATACACTGTAAAAGAGGCTCTCTCTTCAACTCGTGCTGCGGACGTAGATATGCTGAAGCTTCAGCATGCTCGATATCTATCCACTCGTTATTCAAGGCAACTAGCACCTTGTCTTTCAGCGTGAGAACGTCCTGCTGGCGGTGCCTAAAAAAGGACTTGATACGAGCGTGAGAACCCTCTGCTACTGATGTAATACTATAAGTATAGTCAGTCTGATTCAGTGCGTAGAGAGTTATATAAATACTCACTAAGTATCAAAGTGATGGTGGCGATTAGTCCATACCTGGCACCACTGCTCCTTCAGGGGCACCCACTGGTTGCGAACATAGTCGATCAGGGCTCCCTGCTCGG